TTTTCCAAATCAAAGAGAAAAAGACAGAAAACATTAAGATGATCAAAACACTTCAATGAAATCTGAATAGTTAATGAGTATAAAAGACATGTTCAACCTCATAAGAATCAAAGAAAATTAACTGAAACAATAAAATACCTTTTACTTAATGTGTCACAGACGTACAACAGAAACAAGTGTTCAGATCCACCAAAAGAATGTATAAAAATATCCATATCGTTAAAAATTGAAAGCCTAAATGCTTATCTACAACAGAATATAATTTATGATATAATCATATACTGGAATATTATACAACAATGAAAAAGGACTATAACTATACAGTACAAATACCACAGATATAATCTTCAGTGAAAGAAATCAGACACAAAAGAGTATATATCTAAATGAAGTTCAAGAAAGACAAAATTAATCTATTGAGACAGAAGTCAGAAAGCTATTTATATCTGGAGTTGGGTGTAATACTGAGGGGAGGCAAAAGGAAACTTGCCAGTGTGCTAGAAATGTACATTATCTTAATCTGGCTGGTAATTACCTAAATAAATGAACATGTATACAAAAGTTCATCAAGCTTTATGCTAAAATCTGTGCCCTTTTAGTATAAAGCTACATATTCATTTAAAAATTATATTAAAATTTTGCTCAAAAAAATAGAAATAGATCAATAAAACTTTTTAAAAAGCTGACTCTGGCCTTATTCTGAGACTATGAAAGAAGACTCTCACTGCTTTGCTAAAAAAGATTGAGATGGTGGCCAAGGATCATGTCAGAGAGGTGAATTAGGAGGTTATTGTAATAATCTAGGCAGAGAGATGATGGAACCCTACATATGAGAAGTATAAGAAAGAATTCTGGATATACTGTGAAAGTAGAGATAACAGGATTTGTTGATGGCTACATGTGGATTGAAAGAGAAAAAAGGAGTTAAGGATGGCTCCAAGTTTTTTGGTCTGAGCAACTGGTTTAGAGTAGACAGTACCATATAGTCTATCAGTATTTTTAATAAATTTGTTTGGCAAATTTGTTTTTGGCATCATGACTTTTAGGGGACATATTTTTGTTGAACTGACCTAGAACCAATTCTTAATATGAATCTTATTCCTTGTAAATACTTATCTTTTGGTATTCATATTTCTTTTCTGAAAGGCAAAATTATAAAAGCATGCACACTGTATAAAATGGAGAAGTCTCACAATATGGAGAATCGTTGATGACAATATGATAATGAATTCTATTTAATATCCTTTTTACAATATGTAGACCATGACAGGATACACACAGTTGTAACTACATTACAAGCAATCTCTTGAGCAAATACTTTGCTACAGAGTATAAAAGATTCAATTTCTTTGTGTCAAATTCCTGAAATTGCAAGCACTGGTACTTTCATGTGTTCAGACACTGGTTTAAAAAAAAAAAAAAACCACTGCATGGATGAACAAGAAAGCTTGAGTATTGTTCTTTTGTCTTTATTAAGCAAAGTAAAATAAAACATGGTAAGGTACAAAATCTTCATGAGTTAATTGGCTTCCATCATCCACCCAGCAGTAGTTAATTGGAATTTCAAGCTTAGTATTTAAAGGGAAGTCCTTACCCTTGAGTCCAGACTGCAAATTTAAATCTAACAAGCAACAGCAAACATCATGTATGTACTATTTGAGATTTAAAAAGCAAAACAAACAAACAAACAAAAAATCCCTTCCTGAAACTATCCCTTACTAGCTAGAGTCAGATGATCGGCCCCTTACTGCTTACAGAGGCATTTAAAAAAAAAAAAAAAGATTTTATTTATTCATTCATTTGACAGAGAGAGAGAGAGTGAGAGAGACACAGCGAGAGGGAACACAAGTAGCCGGAGTGGAAGAGGGAGAAGCAGGCTTCCTGCCAAGCAGGGAGCCCAAAGCCGATGTGGAGCTCGATCCCAGGACCCGGGGATCATGACTTGACTGGAGGCAGACGCTTAACGACTGAGCCATTCAGGTGCCCCCATAGAGGCATTTTTTATGTTATTTTAACAATTTTCACATGACTTCGCTGATCAAATCATTTTGTCTTCATTTTGTCTAAACTGCCTAGTTGGGAAACTCTCTCTATATAAGATTAAAAAAAAAAAAAAAGGTTTTAAAAAAGAAAGAAAACCAAAAAGCTGTTGGATGAAACATTATTAAATAGGGAGATTGTAGTAAAGGAAAGCTAATCCACCTATTAAGAACTGGTTAACCTATGAAACTAGCATGTATTAAATATTAACAGTATAGAGACAGCATAATTTGACAAAATACACACCAAACCAGACTGCTTAGATTTGTATCCAGTTCTGTCACTCTTTTTTTTTTTAAGATTATTTATTTATTTATTTATTCATTTGTGAGAGAGAGCACAAGACGTGAGAGGGTTGGAGGGAGAAGCAGACTCCCCACCGAGCAGGGAGCCCGATATGGGAGTCGATTCCAGGACCCCAGGATCATGACTTGAGCTGAAGACAGTTGCTTAACCAACCGAGCCACCCAGGCGCCCCAGTTCTGTCACTCTTAACTATGTGATCTCAGGGATATGACAATGTCCCTACCTCAGTTTCCACCTATGTAAAATGGCGGTAATAATACCACTTACCTCATAAAGTTGTTGTTAAGAATTAAATAAGTTAATGCACATGAACTGCTTAGAATAGTACCTGGAAGATACTAATGACTTACTAATGCAAGCCTGGCATTAACACCATACGCCAGAGCTACAAAGAGGACTCAGCAGTAATTACCAAGAACACTACCGGCAAGTACATGACCACTGAGATCTAATGTATTTTAGAATAAATATTCTTTTTTTTTTTTTTAAGATTTTATTTATTTATTTGAAAGAGCATGAGTGGGATGAAGGGCCGAGGGAGAAGCAGACTTCCCACTGAGCAGGGAGTCCAATGCAGGGCTTTACCTTGGGACTCCGGGATCATGACCTGAGCTGAAGGTAGATGCTTAACCAACTGGGTCACCCAGGTGTCCTTAGACTAAATATTCTTGAACTTAGGAATCTGTACTGTGCCATTTCTTTAACATTTCTACATACATAGTTTACTTACCTTGAATTTAAATACCTAAATTAAAAAATTAGAATTTCCTCTTCTTGTTTAGGGTTAAAATATACAACACTGGGGGCGCCTGGGTGGCTCAGTGGGTTAAAGCCTCTGCCTTTGGCTCAGGTCATGATCTCAGGGTCCTGGGATTGAGCCCCACATCGGGCTCTCTGCTCAGCAGGAAGCCTCCTTCCCCCTCTCTCTCTGCCTGCTTCTCTGCCTACTTGTGATCTCTGTCAAATAAATAAATAAAATGTTTTAAAATATATATATACAGGGCGCCTGGGTGGCTCAGTGGGTTAAGCCGCTGCCTTCAGCTCGGGTCATGATCTCGGGGTCCTGGGATCAAGTCCCGCGTCGGGCTCTCTGCTCGGCAGGGAGCCTGCTTCCCTTCCTCTCTCTTTGCCTGCCTCTCTGCCTACTTGTGATCTCTCTCTGTCAAATAAATAAATAAAAATAAAATCTTTAAAAAAAAAAGTATATATATATATATACACACAACACTGATCACAAAATAAATAAGCAATGTAGTGTCAAGTTTTTCGAATACAATTTTGCAAGTAATTTGTAATTTCAAGCTCTATGAAGGATACAAAAAAAATTCCTAAAAGAGAAAAACTTCAAAAAAAGAAACAAAATATCCACTTGACAGAATTACTTCTTAAGAATCTAATTACTAAACTGCATCTTGCAGTTTGATATGTATGAGCTTCCGCCCAGGATTTCCCGAGCGTCCTTCTACCCTGTGCACTAGAATAATCACTACCAATCCTTCAAATCCACCTCCAGCCTGAATAAAGCCTGTTCCATTGAGAACTATTCACCCCCCTCCTCTCTGCTTATGGGCTATATATTACTACTGTACCATTCCACTAACAATTTTTTCAATTAACAGTTTAAAGGAGTACTGAAACAAAAATGTAATGTGAACCACATAAGTGACTTAAAACTTTTCAGTAGCCACTTTAAAATATTATTGCTGGAAAGTGTAATCAATATAAAAAAATTAGTAATAAGATACTTTATATTTGTTACATATTAAATTGTCAAAATCTGGGATGTATTTTATACTTGCGTAACATCTCCATTTGGACTATCCATATTTTAAGAGCTCAACAGGCACATGTGACTACTGGCTAATGTACTGAATAGTAGAGATCTGGAGCCTAGAGTATTCTGTCATATGAAGTGTGGTCTAATGGTCAGCAGCATCAATATCACCTAAAATTTTTAGAAATGCAGAATTTCAACCCATCTCAGACTAAATTAACCTAAAACAGGAACTAAATTTAACAAGTTGATCTAAACACACATTAAAGACTGAGAACTATTTAATTAGACTACACATAGCTTGGGAGCCTTAAAATTTCAATTGCCATTCATCTATCACATAGGACTATGCCACTGAGTAATACAGAACCCTGTATTTAAGTAATAATGGCTTTTCTGCAAATCAAGCTTTTTCTACACTATCCATTAGCACATTCTCCAACAGTGGAAATACATCTATACTACCCAAATACAGCCATACTACCCTTGCCACATGTCTAAGGAGCACTTGAAATATGACTAGTGTAACTGAGAAACCAAACTTTAAATTTTATTTGCTTTCAACTTACTCAAACTTAATAGCTAAATATGGCAAGTAGCTACCATGTTGGACAGCCTAACTCTAGGGGTATTATTTAGTACTTCACAGTATAATCTATAGGAGGGTCCTAGGGACAAATTTAGTAGAAGGTTCTAGCCAAGATAATTCCTCTAAATTCACCTTCTCTTTCTAATCATCAATCAGGTTTACCATTTTACATTGGATGAGGCCAAATATAAAACCTACCTCTAGGGAAGCATAATAAAAGTTATAGCATGTATTTTGTGTGTGTTAACATTACCCCAGCTTATCATCAATGAACAATACAAATGTACATACCTGTACTGTCTTTTTTATTCTATGGGATGGACCTGGATACTCTGGAGAATACAAATCTGTGAGGAATAATGAGTTGATTAATGTTGACTTCCCGAGTCCAGATTCACCTAAAAGAAAAGGGGGAGGAAAATTTGTTAAAGTTGGCCACTTTATCAACCTTAAAAATTCAACCATTACTGTAACCAAACTTGCTTTATATAAGTAATTTTTGATGGAACAAAGAAGTGACATTAGAAAACATACTATAAAGACTCCCTGTTAGAATAAGTTCTTTGTCCTCATTTTCTTATAAAATTAGACTCATGCTTTCAAGGAATCTTTTTAGCTTTGTAATCCTACAATTTGCGCCCTTTAAAAGTAATACATCTAGGGGCGCCTGGGTGGCTCAGTGGGTTAAAGCTTCTGCCTTCAACTCAGGTCATGACCCCAGAGTCCTGGGATCGAGCCCCACGTCGGGTTCTCTGCTCAGCAGGGAGCCTGCTTCCCCCTCTCTCTCTGCCTGCCTCTCTGCCTACTTGTGATCTCTGTCAAATAAATAAATAAAATCTTTAAAAAAAAAAAAGTAATGCATCTAATACAATAGTCTCCATTTTTAATAGTAATAGTATTAGTATTAATACTAATAATAGTAATAGTAATACTAATAGTATTAATAGTATTAATAGTAATACTAATAGTATTAATAGTAATAGTATTCCTAGAGACCAAAGTTAGTTATGAAAGAAGCACCCAAGTTTGGATTATATAATTGCTACTTCAGTGAAATAAAACATAAAAAAAAATAGGTATAAACATTTATTATAGGCAGTAATTAATGAATGACCCCCCAAAAAAGAAATCATACTATAAAAAGCAGAAATCTGCTGATAAAAGAAAAATCAATCAAAATGCATCTCAGTATAAAACTGAATCACAAAAAAAGTACTTCCAATTTATCCACCCATGTATCCATCACCTTAATTATAAAGGGTAGCTTTCCATAAACCAAATCCCAAAAAAATCATAGGTAATTACTTTTTAGAGTGCTCCTGACTGAGGTAAGAGGTAGGAATGGAAGAAGGCAAAACACAATTTCTGCTCAGATTCACATACTCTTCTTTAACTCTCTCTGTCAAGTTTAATACAACATATAATATATAAATTATATATAAATATAATTTTTACCAAAATATAAATAGCTTCAATATATTCATAATATAAGGCTAAATAAATTAAAAATCAAACTGCAATTATCAATTAATGTAGCACAATTAAAGAATCTAGTTATTGTTAATAGTTCGGCTGGTTTAAAAGACACCTATAGGGGCGCCTGGGTGGCTCAGGGGGTTAAAGCTTCTGCCTTTGGCTCAGGTCATGATCCCAGGGTCCTGGGATAGAGCCCCGCATCGGGCTCTCTGCACGGCAGGGAGCCTGCTTCCTCCTCTCTCTCTCTGCCTGCCTCTCTGCCTACTTGTGATCTCTGTCTGTCAAATAAATAAATAATCTTTAAAAAAAAAAAAAGACACCTATAGCCTAAATAACTGGTATCACAATATTAGCATTACTATTTCTGTCCAGGTTAAGTTCTTTCTTTTTATACTGGCTCCCAAGAAAGTTAAGATCTATACTAGGTTGTCAGGGCTTACCCCTTTGAATGAGGGGATGTCACTTTTTTCTTAAAGTAAAAATTCCAGAAATTTCTAAGACCAAGGAAAATACAGATTTTTGATACCTACTTCTTTCTCAACTCTTATATACTGAATAAAGGAGTAAAGACTAGAATAAAACCCAAGCCTGTGGGGGATAATCAGAAATATCTAGGCCTTACAGATGCCACTGTCCTATTGCCACCCACTATCTAGCCACAGTCAACCCCACCATGTTTTTCAACATTGCTATGGGCTGCATCTCCTCCAGGCTGTTTGCAAACAAAGTTCCAAAGACATTAGACAATGAATCTTGGAACATAGCATCAAGAACTAATAATGTACTGTCTGGTGACTAATATAATAAAAAATAAGAAGAGGAAGAATTACACACACATACACACACACAAACACAACAAGAACTTTCATGGCCTGAACACTGGAGAGAAAGGAGTTGGTTCTAAAGGTTCCTGCTTTCGCAGATTATTTCAGGGTTTATGTGCCAGGGTGGTGACTTCACATGCCATATGGCACTGGCAGGAAGTCCATCTATAGGGAGAAATCTGATGATGAGAATTTCATCCTGAAGCACAGGGTCTAGCATCTTGTCCACGGCAAATGCTGGAACCAACACAAACACTTCCCAGTTTTTCATCCACACTGCCAACACCAAGTGGCTGAATGGTAAGCACGTAGTCTTTGACCAGGTGAAAAAGTGCATGAATACTGTGGAAGCCATAGAGCGCTTTGGGTCCAGGAATGGCAAGACGAGTGAGAAGATCACCATTGCTGACTTGGACAACTCTAATAAATTTGACTTGTGTTTTATTTAAAACAAAAAAAGAGAAGAAAAATATCTATAATATTTTCATTTAGAAACATAAATGAAAAATTTGCATACCTGTAAAAATATTTTGGGCTGTCCAATGTACAAGTATACTAAATTCAAAAATTAATACTGCACTGACTAAAAGTATGTTTAGAGACCTTATTTTAATTAACTTTAAAAACCAATCTTTTTTGGTGGTACAGGGTAGAAGAACAAGAGAAAGCAGGGTAAAATGAAAGGCATGACATGACAAAGGGGGAATAAAGCCTGAAAGGCAACACATCAAAATGTTAATAGTGGTTACTACAGAGTAGAATTGGAGATAAGATTTTTTTTTTCCTTAGCTTTCCACATTTCTGTGTGTTCTAAATTTCCTTCACTAACTTAATTTTTTATAATTTTAAAAGCATTCTTGAGTGACATCAGCAAATGACAGACTTAAGAAGTTCCAAGCCCTCACAGAAACATCAAAAGCAACTAGAGACTGGCTGCATTAACTTTATACTGGAGCTCTGGAAAAAGTCAAAGCTTTACAGCAACCAAACAAATGCCTAGTCAAGAAAATACCGTGAACAACAAAGTTCAGGTCATTTTCATTTTTTCTTGCTCTATTCTCTATATGGGTATGTCTGGGACTCAAGGGATTTAGCAGCCCAGTTCCACATTCTTCCCTCAAACCAGATGGAATAGAGCTGACTTTTCTTAAAACATTCTAACCTCTCTAGGGTCTGCCAGAAGGACTGGTCTGTCTTGTCTAATTGGGATTTTAGGTGGAGGAAGCACTGGACACCATGGTAAAAGCTGAAGGCGGACTATAAATCCATGGATGCCTGGAGCAGAAAATTATGGGTGGGTATAATAAAGTATATACCTGATCCTAGAGAACTTAGGCTCATGCTTTTCCTATTAAAGATTAAGACTATTTGCTTTTTGTTTTTGAGCAATTCTCATTTTGGGAACAATGGTTAAGACTTTCTTTAACTTTAAACAGCATGTATCTTATTATACTATTTTAAATGTCAAAATATTGTCTGCTTTTTTATGCTCACTAAAAAAATCAGAAAACACCTAACTATACTTTCACTTATGATTTTTCCCCCAGTGAATTTTTTTCTCTATCTTCATTTAAACTCCCGTCATTCACTACATGAATTAATAGCTTGCATACTCTGAACTAAAACTTAGGTCTGGTCAATTTTTAACATGTCAGGCAGGAGATATCTAAATTAGTTAACTTCCATCCATTCCTAGACAACTCACATTAAAACTGAAGCTTTAAGATTCAATTCATATGTGATGCCCCTGAATGTTGGTTATAACAACAAAAGATAGCTTATTTTGCTTACCATCAAGGTGAACATTTCAGGAAACTTCACCAACAGTCTCAGAGGTTTAAAAAATGTCAGAGTAAATTACTGGTGAGCATATGGACAGAAGTAGGTAACCTTCAATTTAAAAGAAAATAAATATCCTCTCTGACCACTTATTCTGTACATTTTACATTCTTTTAGACTGATCAAGAATGTAAACCATAACTACAGTAACTGGGTGATCTCTGTAGAAGTAAACACAACAAATAATTGAGTATCATTTGGCCAAGAAAAAGAATTTCAGACTCCAGTTTAACTTTGCTCACATTTCTCTACTTCTCATCTTCCACATTTATGCATGAAGTTGTTTCTAAGTTATTTAGACTTATTCTGAACGGTTCTCGGCAAAGTACAATTTTTTTCATGAACTGCTCAATTTCTTTAATTCAGAGATACACATTTCCTTCATCAACGTTTCTAAAAATGAACATCTCTCATAGTCGAAATGTGTATTTACTATACTATTTTTTCAGCATCTTTTCATTTGTTAATCATTTTATTTTTTCATAAGTGTATCCTTTAATCCCCATCCCCTATTTCCTCCATCCCGCCACCCACCTCCCCTCTTGTACCATCAGTTTGTTCTCTATAGCTAACAGTCTATTTCTTGATTTGTCTTTTTTCCCCTTTGCTGATTTGTTAAATCCCACATGTGAGTGAGATCATATGATATGTCTTTCTCTGACTGACTCACTTCACTTAGCATTATACTTTCTAGCTCTAGCCATGTTGTTGCAAATGGCAGGGTTTCATTCCTTTTAATGGCTGAATAATATTCCATTACATGTAAACATATAATTGTATAATAATATATAATGGAATATTAGAATATAAAGTATAGTGTATGTGTACACACAAACACACACACACACACACACACACACACACACACTTCATCCATTCTTCTCTATCCATTCATCTATTGATGGATATACTTGGGCTACTTTCATAGTTAATAACGCCACTATAAACATAAGGGTACATGTACATGTATCCTTTTGAATTACTGATTTTGTATTTTTTGGGTAAACACCCAATGTGTGATTACTGAATCATAGAGTAATTTTATTTTTAACTTTCTGAGGAACCTCCATACTGTTTTCGCAGTGGCAGCACCACTCTGCAGTGCATGAGGATTCCTCTTTCTCCACATCTTTACCAACAGTTGTTTCTTGTGTTTTTGATTTTACCCATTCAGATAGGTGTGAAGTGGTGATATCTCATCGTGGTTTTGACTTGTATTTCCCTGATGATGAGTAATGAGCATCTTTTCATGTGCCTAT